GCTTTTTAAGCCAGGCCTCGAACTCACCATCCACGGTTTTCTTCTTGAAGAGGGACGCCATGGTCAGGGACCGCACCCGGGCGGCCCGGTTCGGCCCGGTCCGGCCCGAAACTGGGAAACGACAGGAGCAAAAGGACAGGCCCTTGAAGGGTTCGAGGTGGCGGAGCGGAGGGGCAGGAGAAGAGGGCGGGTTCTCCAGGCAGGACCCGCGGAGGGCGTATCAGCGAAGATACCGCAGCCGCACCGCCCGGAGCTCAGGTGACCGGGAACTAAGACACTTTTTGGAGAAGTCACTTCTAGGCGGCGCCTGCGCGTCGTGCTCTTGCGCCTGCGCACTGCGGCGCCTGAAGCCGCGGCCGTTGCCCTCACTTCAGCAGCTGCCCGTTTCTCCCGCTTGTGGGGTCGCGGCGGGGCGAGTCAAGGGTTTGCGGGGTTAGGAGAACGTGGGAGACGACGAGCGGTTGCAAGGGTCTTCCGTGCGCGGGCTCCGTGATGACTGCGGAGAGATGAGCCTTGCTTACTGCTTTTCTTCTTGTCCCGAGGGAAGCTGGAATTAGGGGTCTCCAGGGCCTTAGGGCAAGTGTGGTCGTCCCAGAACCGCCTGGAACCACTCTGAACTGATGTATGACCGTCCTGTTGCTGTCTGTATTATTACTTTATTACGCGAATAAGTGCAGGGACTGATGGACGTGCTGAGTTGCATACCCCGTGGGGGTTTGTCCCCCTGTTCACGCTCTTTTCCGCACTGACCGGCTCGGTGATCTCCCGCCGCCCACCTGCGCGAGCCCCTCCGGGACCCGAAGCGTTCCACTGCCGCGCTGCGCCCCCGGGCTCAGACGACCCGCTGTGGGTCTCGGTATCCGGTGTTTAGGGGTGAGGGTGACGCGGATTGGAAGGGAATGGGGAGCAAGTTTCTTAATGCAACACTTTTTGTTTAATATTCTTGGCTGAAAGCATGAAGAAAAAAACTTACCTATTTGAATACCGGTTTAAATGTCTCCAACTCTGTGTCTTGCTTTCTTGTAATTTGTCAAGAAAAATTCATGGCTATACTGCGAGCTTATCAGAATGTCACACAGCTGTATGTTGGTGTTTGTGGGGGAAAAAAGCTCCATACCATGTTAAAGGGAAAACGGTAATGAATTATTTAAAGAATCCTTGCGCGTATAAATATCAATATGGAAAATACAATTTTGTGTTTGTATGTGTATACGTGTATACACACATATCTGTTGAATATATTATGTCGCCATTTCGAAATTTTGTTTTGAGCTTTTTTCTCTATCGACTGCTGCATTAAGCAACACTGCCTTCCACAGGATAAAAATAAAAGCATTTTTTCAAAGATATGATTTTTTATATGGAAGACACTCCAATAATAGTGTCAGTGATATCAGTCACTTCTGGATTTGTGAATCATGTCTCAAGAATCTTTAAGTGTTTAAGACTATCAGACTTGCCTTCCCCGTTTTTTTCCCCTCATAGGATATCAAAGTGCCCTTGGCCACTTTATAATCCTGCTGCTGCTTCTAAAGTTTAGCTAAGCGTCTGTTCAAGAAAACTTTCTCAGAATGAAATAATGATATACAAGATATAATTGTCTTGCTCTTCTTCAAGATTTTTTTCTTTTTTTCTTTTTTTTTTTTTAGATATTGTGGCAAGGTGAAGTAAGGAAACATTAGGAAAAAATAGACTAGTTAAACTTGGTCTCCACACCCAAGGCCTGGCCTTTCCTAGCTCGCTGTCAAAAAGGCAGTTTGCCCTGACTGCCTGTTCTAATGAATGGCACAGAGTTTGCTTGAATGCATGAGAAGCAATAAGCTGTTATGTGTGTAGTAATGGTACTCCTCCCTGCTGCAGTCACCCTTGTTTTATTACTCCTACACAATCCCCCCCACTGACCCAATTGTAACAGTTGGGAAAATGCCAAAATACTTAGCAGCAACCATATGGAAGACCCTCCAAAAGTGCACAGCAGGAGCTAAAGACAGGGCTTGTTCATTGCAATAAAGACAAAATAGAAATATGTACTATTTAACTCAGCACTCTAATAGCTCGATTCTCCCACAGTTTGAAGCAGGCTGATATGCGGCTGATAAGCACCAGTCTGGCTCGCATCCGTGTTCTTGTTAGTTGGTGGCCAAACTGTATCCATATATGTTTTGTATATCACTCTGTATTTGAAGGGCATGGTGCACTTAAATATCGTAGAGATTTGGGACACCAAGAAGCTGTAAACTAGAATACAATGATAGTCTTCATTTCTTTACAACCACCAGTGTCACACACAAACTCACTAAATCAACAAAATATATATAAGCATAAAAGTTAGAGCAAACATTTAAATTTTATTCTTTTTAAATCTCATCAAGAAATAACTAATATCCTATGGTCACATCATTATCACTCAACACTCTTCCTCCAAATTGCTCGTACAGTGAAAAGTATTTATTAAATACCTAATGACACATACCATGCTATGTGTTGGGGATATACCAGTAAAGAAACAGTTCCTCTTTTACTTACTACCTTCCTACCAGTTTTTCACCTCTTCTCACTCACTTGTTCATCACAGGGAGGCAGGCTTTGGTGCAGTATAAAAAAAGAGCTCTTAAAACCAGAGCTATTCTAAAATAGGAGTGATACGGCATGAGGTAGTGAGTTTCTTGTCACTGAAGTGTTCAAGAAAGAGCAGGTTGTTAAAGACAGGATTCCTTTAAATAATCAAAGCCTTGATTAGAATATTTCTAAGATTCCTTTAAAATCTGAAATTGTATTATGAATAGAATATAGCTTAGGCCAAATACCTTGTTGTGTGATGTTTCACACACTGCAAATAATATCACTAACTCTTGTTGGCTTTACCTTTAAAAATATGATAAAGCCAATGAATATAGCATTTACACTATTTTGAATCATCCCAGCACAGGTAACCTTCATCTCTGTCCTACATCATTACCACCTCTTGTTTCCCTGTTTCCATCCTTACTTCCAAGGCTATTTTCTCTACATAACAGAATGATCCTATTAAAATGTGAATTAAATCATGTTATTCTGTTTCTCAAAAAGAGATCAACATATTCTCAATACTTATGTCTGGACTACACACACGCATACACTCACTCACTCACCTGTTCTACAGATTAAACTTCTGGTTATTCATTCATTCAATGTCTTACTTTTTACCATCCAGATTGCCCTTCTGATTATTTCCCTTCATTATTTGTCACCCAGCTGGAGCATTATTGTTTAGGTGTGACCTTAGAATTATGTGATCTATTACCTCTCTTTGCTCTGTACACTGTACTAATATTTCTGATAGTACCCTCTGTGATTGCATCAGCAGTTTTGATAATAGTGTTCACTGAATGACATCAAACTTTTCATTAAGGAAAACTTTTAGCACTTTTTAAAAACAAATTCCTACTTAGTTCTCCCCATTCTATACTTGATTAATGAATAATTTTAACCTAAATACAGGACTTTCCATTCATCATCTAGAGCCATTCATTCATCTTAGTATTGTACTTATAAAAACTTTTGAGGCATTGTAGCTACCTATGAATCCATTCAAACTAGGTCATCAAGATTTTATTTAACTTTTATTTTTAAGGCCTTTAAAATTTTTTGTAATCTTTGGTAAGACAGAAAGACTTCTGATACCAAAGTACAATATGCCTATGTTATAGTCATATCCTATAAATTAGAGAGACCATTAAAATAAAAAATGGGTTTAGTTTGGCAAAATTTATTCTTGGGGAAACAGCATTCACTTGACATGATCAACATTTTCTTTCCTAAGTATTAATAAAACATAATTTAATTATCTACTCAATATTGTTTCCTGGAGTATTTCATAATATGGTTTCCTTCTCCTTGAAAACTGGAATTTGCCATTGTTCAGTCTTTTGGTATCTTGGGTTATAATTTGAATGGATGCCCTCTTTTGCTCTTTTGGGTTTTGAAGGCAGATGAGATCACAGTGGAGAGCACTGACTCTAAACACAGACTGCCTGGGTGTGTAACCAAGCCTGTGGTTTTCTAGCTATTACACCTGGGCCAAGTCACTGAAGTTCTCCATGTTCATTTCATCACATGTGTGATAGGGATAGTATTAGTAGTACCTTCATATAACTGTTGCAAGGATTAAATGAGTTAATATTTGTAAAACACTCAAAGTAGTGACTGACACATAATGTCTTAGTCTGTTTGTGCTGCTATAACAAAATAGCAGAGACTAGGTAATGTAGAAACAGTAGAAATTTATTTCTCGTGGTTTTAGAGGCTAGAAAGCCCATGATCAAGGCACCAGCAAGTTCAGTGTCTGGTGAGGGCTGTTCTCTGCTTCCAAGAGGACACCTTGGTGCTGCCTCTTCCAGAGAAGATGAACGCTGTGTTCTCACATGGCAGAAGGGACAGAAGGGCAAAAGGGAGGGAGGCAGCTTCATAGCACCTCTTTTAGAAGGGTGCTAATCAATTCATGAGGGCTCCATCCTTGTGACTGAATCACCTCCTAAAGAACCACCTCTTCACACTATTACATTGGCAGTTAGGTTTCAACGTAAAAATTTTGGGGGACACATTCAGACCCTGGCACATAATAACCACTCAAAGGGTGTTAGCTGTATTATTGTTCTCAGGTCTCTTACCTTTTTATGTTTTCTCAAGGGTTGTCTCTTCACTTTGAAATTTAACTAATCTATAATAGAGAAAATATTAAGTTGGAGATTTATGCTTTTTATTCTGATTCTGGTTACCTTCACTATATCAGCCTCCCCTTCTCCGAATTAGTCCATTTCTTTCCCCTTAATTTTTTTTAAAAAATGTTTTTATTATCCTTGAATCTATTATTTTTATAGGAGTTGACTTATAGGAATATGTGTCTAACATTGGTATTATATTGGAGGGATTTATTGCATGTTTGTTTGTGTTGTTCTTTTCTCCTTAGCTCTGGATCCTAAACTCTTCAGGTTCAGAGAGAATGTCTTGTCAGACCCCTCAATAACTTTCTTATTTCAATACAAATATATTTAGTAGAAACAGTAATTCAAGAGCATTTTTATATTATGTTTCAATATTTTAATGCCAAAATGACATAATGTACATTTAGTACATTTGTATTGACCTCACACACTTAATTTCAAGTCTCCATATACCTGAAAGGCAATGAACATCACCTATCTCCATAAACAGCATAGGTTTAGAGAGCCTGGTTCAAAGTCAGTGAGTGGTTCTGTCTCGGCTCTAGGTAAGGATTTAGTGTGGACATCCCCTCTTTTGTACCCTA